CTATCCCTGGAGCAATGTGCTAACGCTCCGGCAGGTTCGGCTTCAAGGCCTACAATTTCTTCAGTTGACTCTAACGCTCTAACTTGAAATTAATAAATTGGTGACAACGAATGGGAAATTCAAATACCCAAATAAGCAAAAACAGCGTCCAACGACTTGAGGCACCGCAGAATCATGGTCTTTCACGCACCTGAATCCTGTGATTCCAATCCTCAGGTGCGCCTTGAACATGACGTCGACTTTTTGAAAACTGATTGATAGTGTTATAATTTGAAAAGCGCAGTAAGAAGACGAAGAATGGCAAATGCACACATTTCGTATTGTCTTATTAGTGCCTTTAACAATATAATAAATTGTTATAATTGTTATAATTGAGGGAACGCCTTAAGTATAATTGCGTAACGCCTGATAAGATTGACACTTGCACGATTGGAGTACGCCTAAGGTAACGGATTGGATCGCTGGCCAATCGAACGGATTTGCGTTGACCTGATGGCGTTAGCTTAGCCCCGGATACGCGGAACACATCTTCATAACGCTTGAACCAATATTCAAAGGTGAGGCCAGCATCAGGGTCGTACGAAAATTCGGTAATGGTGTTAGTGATGGTGTTTACCGAAACGGACGGCTTGACGGTTGTAGAAAGTGAACCGGTCTGGATTGAGAGTTGCCGCGTAAGAGTTTCGATCAGCCTGAGTTGGGATTACTCGAATTGTGCTTGTTGCTGCAGCAGTATGGCGTTGAGCTCGTCAGCCGATATGGACATCTTGATTAGGGTTCAACCCGTCGCCAGCTGAAGCGTTCGTCCCACGCATGAATGGACGCTTGATTCTCAATCAAAATCCGAACACGCTGGCCCCCCACAGGACAGAGAGAAGACCGGATCGGACGAGCAGAGCAACAGGGATGAATTAGCAAATCACACCGTTCATTATAAAGGTGAAATGGAAAGTTCGTGAATGGTATTTAAAGCGAACGTGGAAAGCTCTGGAAGGGTCAACTTACAGCCAATAAAGAAACCCGCCCTCGCGTTACTTGACCGCTTCTCCCGGTTGGCTCTCTGTTCGCCCCAATCAGGGCGGATGAGTTTGGATCGCATGCCGCGGCGATGGGGTCCTGGCTTGTTCGCATCGCGTATTCCTTCCTAACAATATCACAGGATTCGTCTATTGGAACCTGTTGGACTATCATTAAAGAGAGAGTGAAATCGTTGTGCGCCCGATTTGTACCCCTCAAGTATCGGAAAGTTGGGCTAGTCAAACCACATTAGGTTCGACAAGGAGTACAGCAAACTGGCCCGACTACGACGTAGACTATGGAACAAACTCGTGTTATCTGGTTCTGATGATGGCTACAAGGCGTACAAGTTACAGCGAAATCTCTGCAACAAGGCGAAAACAAAAAGCGCGGAAGCTTCGAAGAGCAGCTTTCAGCTGCCGCAGGAACTGCTCCCGAGAGGATCTTCGCCTACGTGAAGTGGCGTCTGAGGCCTGCAGGCAATGTGCCAGTGTTGGATGGCTCAGATGGACGGCTACTAACCTCGAGCCCAGATCGTGCGTCCGCATTGGTGGAGGAAATAGGTTTCGTCCATACATCTTTCAGAACCCTCCTTAACGCAATCAAATATCATCCACCTGGCGCGAACGCACCAAAGCGCGCCCCTCGTTGGGTGACCACTCCCAACTCAACCAATGACACATCAGATTGGTTTACGACATGAGTTACCTGAGAAGTTTGGGGGTGGCGCAGATCGCGTGCGATTTGGTGGGTGCCCAGTCGCGCTCGAGACTCGTATTCAGGCATGATTGGTTACACTGAAGCTAAACACATGCTAGGGGGAATATCGCAAAACTCGCGTGGTGCC